AAAATCACAGAAAACAGAAAAATTGGTGCACTTTTGAATGTACTAGGTGGCTGATTAACCCCGCACACTTCTGTAGTTAGACTGTACCGCACGCACGAGTGCGGGCGGTTTGCCTATACTGCCTACGCGCCCCGCCCGTAAGGCGCCGTAGACAGGGGCGATAGGTAAGCCCGCCCGCCCTTCTGCGTGCGGTACAGTCTAACTACAAAAGTGTGTGGGGTTAATCAGCCACCTGGCACAGTGAAGTGTCCCCCGGTTTGCGCCGGGGAGGTGGGCAGCCCAAGCAACGCGTTGCCTCGCCGGCCGGCCGCCGGTGCGGTAGGCAGCCCACCGTGCGCGCGCGCGCCGCGGGCCGGCAGCCGCCGGGCGCTGAACGAGTCTTCCTCTTCTTGTCGCCCGCAGCGCTGCTGTTCTTCGACTCGTACGCCGCGGTCCTGGGCGCCATGGCGGTGGTGGGCGCCGCGCGGGGCGTCAACGTCGTGTTCCTCCAGCTGCTGATCCCGGACAACGTGCCGATCCAGCGGCTGCCCAGCGCCCAGGGGCTGTACCTGCTCACCAACGGCGTCATCTTCATGGCCGTGGGACCCTTCATGGGTGAGTACTCAAGTGAGGCTCTGGAAAAAGAACGACATTATGGGGTTGGTTTGGCAACGAGCGTCACGCTCCGGATTCTGTGCGTCAGGCTGGATGGTGGGCAAGAACAAGGACTACAACGTGGTGATCGTCGTGCTCGCCGCCATGAACGCCCTCACCCTCGCCGTGTGGGGCGCGCAGCAGCTCCTGCAGACGCTGGCGGCCAGGCGGCGGCCGACCAAGGGGCAGCAAGAGGGGGAGGCCGACGCTGCCGTCTGACGTCGTCGGATGAGCGAACTCCAGAGACACTTGTGACATTGATCTCCAAAGTGCTGTTCAGCTATCATTTCCATGTATTTTCTCTTTTTCGACGCCGACGTCGATGTGCGCGGGCGCCACGACGAAGCGCGGTGGAGAGAGAGAGAGAGAGAGAGAGAGAGAGAGAGAGCGAAGAGAGGGAGGCCGCACGGCCAACAAATTAAAATGTCTCGCTTCATTTGCTTCTCCCGCTCCCACTGGAGCCGGAGGAACACGCTTCACGCGGGGACCCAGTCCCTCACAGCCCCCAGTCCACACCATTTTTATTTATTTGCTGCTCTGCTTCGCGAACGAGGGGTGGAGGAGAAGGCGAGGGCTGAGGGAAAGGACGGATGAGGAGGGCGGTCGTGAGCTTATTACACTGGGCACTAGACGCGAGGCCGTGCCGTTCAATGTTTTATTTTTCTTCGCAACCCTTTCATATTTTCAGATTCTATGCTCTCACGCACCAGAACGACGCGGCGCCGCCGCCGCCGCGCGCGCACTGTCTCTCCGCAGCACCATCATGCACAGGTCGTTGACGGACAAATTAAAATTCCGGCCGTTCGGGGCCCTGCTCCTCCCTTGTCCCGCCGCCGCCGGAGAGCAGGGCTGCCTCTCCTCTAATGAATCGCTTTTTCTACGACCGCAAGTCAAGTCCGTCCGTGTCGGTACGGCCCTCCTCCACGCTACGCCACGCCACGCCTCCGGACAGGACAGACGCCGCGGCCGCCGCCGGCCACTCTCTCCGTATCGTCGTAAAGCTCGGTGAAGCATTGTCTGCCGCGCCGGGCAGCCCGCTGTACTGCTTGTGCGCCGGCAAGCGCGCCGTATTATTGCGATTGGAGACCGCGCTTGTGCAAACACTTGGAAAGGCCGGAGGCAAGGGCCGGGGCGGGGCGGGGCGGGGCGAGATGCGCTGCCGATGGCCGCCCCCCGCGGAACGTTACTCGCACTCGCGCGGGCGGCGGAGAGCGCCGAGCGGAGCAGGTGTGAGTTACGAGCGCGGCGGAACCTTCGCGCCCGCCGCCGCCGCCGCCGCGGGACCATAACGGTTATATTTGCGTTTCCGCAAAACTAACGATGTTTTCATGACCGTTTCAAGTTTTGTTTGAGGGCGTTACTCATGGTGCGGGAGCCGGGGCGAGAGGAGAAGGGTTCAAGTGAATCTATGGAGGAGGAGGAGGGAGAAAGGGAGAAGAGACAGAGGGAGGGAGGGAGGGAGCAGCGGCGAGCGAGAGAGAGACAGCCACTCATCGCCGATCTCTGCCGTGTTTGAATGCCGTGTGGCCCGGGCTGCTGTGGCGCCCTCTACACACAAAGGGATCACAATGGGGGCCTCCTGCCGGGGGTTGGTCCTGCGCCCCGCCCCGCCCGCAAAGCAATGCGCGGCTCCGCGGCTTAGCCTGGTGAAACATTTACTTAACATTGTCAACAAGGACCGGGGCCTAATGGCTATACACCTCTCACTTCCTCCTCCTCCCCCTTCCCCGTGCCGACTTCCGACTGTGTGTCGAACCCCCAATCTGAAATATTAGAGCGGAGCTGCGCGGAGGGA